TCTATCAGAGATAGCAATACTTCAAGAAGACAACACTCACACCAAAGAACCTTCAGCAAACGTCGAAGACTGAAACTAAAGATTAGAGACTGGCGAGTAGGTGATCTGAAGCGGTATTCAGTGATTACAAGCCTATCTATGTATGTGTGAAGACTGCTCAAGCTTCAGCGAATGATGAAGAGACCTTCAGGTCATTCCAGCATTCAGCAATCAAAGGAAGCTTGCTTAGCACGACTGTTGTTTTCTTGTCCTTATACACACAAAGTACAAACACCATACCCTTATGAAAGTTGGTACGGTACGGAGCCGACTAGTCGACTCTATTGTCCACCAACTTTAGGTAAGGATGTATGCTCATGAATAGTGTTTTTTGTACTATTCATTGTAGCAAAGGAAAAACCTTCCTCTTAAAGCTTGACACGCACTCTAACCCTACCATATTGCATTAAATGTTCTTTTAATGCACTGGGTATAAATAGAAATGTTTCTTCTCCATGCAGAGTGCGCGCAACTCACTCTCTAACCCTAATTCTTACTTCAAGCATTTTCTAGCTTAAGTAAAGGATCTTCTCTATAGCATTTCTTTTCTTGTATTTGCTAAGACTTAGTGTATAACTAAAGATTGTTTAGATAGGTTTCTATCACCTTATCTTTCCACAAACAATCTTGTAAAATATGTATTGATCTTCTTTATCAATATATATTTTAAATTTGAAAATATTGTGTTTGTATTCATCCCCCCCCCTTCTACAAACTGTTTTACTATTCTTGTAGACCCTCAAGGGACCAACAGGAACTCCCTTTCCTTTTGAAAATAATCTTTTAGGGCCTCAGAGTTTAATCTGTCTCTTTCGTTCTCTAGAAGCTCTGTTTCTTTCTTCTTATTAGCCGCTTTTAATTCTAAGCATTCTGTTTTAAGACTTGTTTTAGTGGATCATTTTATTTGTTAAAGCTTTTCATTTTCCACTGATAACTCATGTTTTTCTACAGTTAACAGCTTTGTCTCTCGTTCAAAAAATAGTTTTTCTTTTTCCAAGGATTTTCTTTTGGATTTTTCGAGAGGGAGCTTTTGCTGTAGATTGACGAAATTGTTAGTCAAAGAAGAGATACTTTCTTCCAAGTCAGAGTGAGAATAACCAGATGTGGAACATACCTGAGAGTCGGAGTCAGATCCACACTCATTCTCGACAGCCATCCTACAGAAGTTGGCTTGGTCTTCTTCATCAGATAAGGAGTAAGAGACCCAATTCTCCTATTCTGCAATGAGGCTTTTTTGTGATCGATTGTACTTGTACTTATTTTTATAGTACAATTCATCTTTCACAAGAGGGCCTCTGCACTCTTTGGAGTAGTGCCTCATCTTCCCGCATCTAAAGCATCGGATACCTTGCTTCTTCTGGTCCAACGGCTCTTCCTCCTTCTTGTTGGGAACAGAAGGAGGGTTTGTTCCTTCGAAAGATTTGCCTCTTCTTCTATCACTTTGTCTTCCTCTTCTGTCGAAGATCTTCGTCCCAAATTTCCTTTGGAATTCCTTGGTGATCAGGGCCAAGGATTTCGCAAAGGCATTGATATCATCGTCTTCAGAGCTAGATGTTTTGTCTTCCTCATCATCACTCTCCAAGATGAGAGCTTTCTTTCCCATTCTTCTTTCTTCCCTAGGTCTCCGTTCTCTATGTGGCTGGCTTGATCCTGTCTCTTTTGAATCAGAAACAAGAGCCAGAGGTCCACCCAGAGCGACCTTTGCCTTTTGCACCTCTTGTTCTTGAGCCTGCAGTGTCCCATATACATCGTGCGGTGTCCATTGCTCCAGATCTTGGTTTGCCTGGAGAGACATTGTCAGATTTCCCCATTCTACGTTCAATCTCCTCAAGAAGAGCATGTAGTTCTCCTCTTGGGTTTTGATCACGTCACATTTGTGACATTTGTTGATCAGAGTGCCTAGAAGCTATTGTATTCATTTAGGCATTGGGCATGATGATTCTTCTTCATCTTGATGCCTCCTTCCAACTGGTTAGCAGTTGATCCCACAAATCCTTCACCGAGTCGCACGCTTCAAGTGACTGGAAAATTTCGTTGGGAAGCGCCATAATCAAAAGTCTTTTGGCCTTTTGATCCACTTCCACTCTTCATTTATCTTCATCGTTCCAGTCATGACGAAGTTTGGGTACTCGCCTGGCAGGTACCTCAATTGTATCACCAGCAGCGGGAATCCGAGGTATGATGGTGGTAGGGACATATGGGCCATTTAAGATTGACTCATAAAGATCTAGGTCAAGACCCTCATAGAAGTTTATCATCCGGATCTTCCATTGGGGATATTCTTCCCTAATGAGAGTCGGAGGTTTTGTCAAGGAACCGCCACTATACATGGAGTTCCATGATTGAGAAGACGACATTTTAGATTAAACTTTTGAGAAGAAAACTTTGATGAGAAAGATAATCGACTGAAAAAAGATTTCCAAATTACGTAAAAGCAAATGTTTTTAAAATCGAGAAAAATAAGAGTAACAATTCTTTTAAAAATGAATAATCAAAAAGTAAGAGTAGAATCCAGTTGGATATCGACCGGCTAATCAATGAATTTGATTAGCAGGCTTTGATACCAATTGTTGAACCCATATACTCTTAATTAATAGAAACACAGTTTGTGTAAGGTAAGAATTAAGAACAAGCAATGTATTTCAAATGATTTATCAGAATATTCAAAGATGAATGTAAAACAGTTAATGAACTTGAATATGCTGAATGCTTTTATTGATAAAAGATGAACAATGAAAGCACAAAAGTAATCTCACAGAAAAACGCGTATAGTATAAGTCGGTTCCTTCAGGTACTTTAAACTAGAGGAGGAAACCTCCTTATATATGCGTAGGTCTAACAAACTATGTTATAAACTAGGCGTGAAACTCTAAGCTGACTGGTCTGCATCCTTATTGTTGACTTCCCTTGAATAGCATAGCAGACTTGGTCAAACCGCCTTAAATCTGTTAGACGCTTGCGAGAATGTCTGGGCTAGCACGCGCGCGTTCCGTGGAGAAAGTAGCCAAAAGCTCTACATGAACATACAGATGCTCTGCATGTACTATGCAGAGGCTCTGCATATGTAGAAGTTCTGCATGTACTATGCAGAGGCTCTAGGTCTTGGAGTTGTTGCTTTAAGTCAAGCGCTTATGCTTTTTGGCGCACAAGGCTTGAGCGTTCACGAAGATAGAGCGTGGGCTATGTATGAATGGAACCTTCACTCTGAGTAAGAGCTCTGGTTCTTGATCTTCTGCATAAGAGCTCTTAGCCAGACAGCTTCTATAGACTAAGTTTTATTGACTAGAGTAAGACACTTCTTACTTACACTTTCACAAGTTGGGGTCTAACAATAAGTTTTCTTAAGTTACAAGTTTAAGAAAAAGTACAAAAAGATAAACTGAAACTGAAAGCATGTTCACTGACTAGAGATTGTCAGTGACTGTAAGAGAATAATGGAACTCATAGATATGTGTCCCTATTACTCTTTTCATAAATCTTTTTTAGTGATGCTGATGAAATACTAATATTTATTCAAAGGAAAAATTACAAGTATTTCAGTCAGTACATTTCTAGACTTACAAAATATAAGTTGTACACTGAAAGTAAAGACATAGATACAAAAGACATACAATGAAAGACAAAATTACAAGACATAATTTCATAACTAATCTAGTTCGCTGAAGTCGATGTAGCCGGGTACTTCTTCTCCAAGCTCCTTTCGACATAGAAATTCTCTTCTGATCATGCGGTCTATCATTTCACCATATAAATCATTGTCCAACCAACATCTTATATAAGAAAGATGTTCCATAGGACACATATTTATCTCAGACACTCTCTGAAAGCTATGTTCGCCTTCATAGTCAAGGAAAATAAATCCTAACTCAGGCTTTAGCTGCACAGTGTTAGGTATGTAAGGACCCTTCGCTGGCAAGGAGAGGTTCAACATTGAGATGTTTGGCTTCTTCGAATCCTTCAGGACTTCGTCTAAGGAGAACTTTGTTTCATGTTCATTCCTCAAGGTTGGTCCGTCATTAGGACTTGAAGGTCTTCTTCTTCCACCTTTCTTCAGTGATGGCTTTGTAGGTATAGCGACATATTTTGACATCCTCTTAATCAACTTGCTGATGATGTCTTCAATAATCGGCTTGTGCCTTGACTTTGAGCACTAAATGGCTTGGCGGATCTCCAACCATTCACTATAGCCATACTGACCTAGGTAGGAAGGATATTCCATGACAGCTTGAAGGTTGTCTCCGGTGATGAGCATTAAGATTAGAACTCCGCCATCTTTCATCTGTCCATTGATTGTGACATTTGAAATAGGGTAAGGACTGATTCTCTTGTTTAAAAGATCTTCGCTCCATTTTCTGTCTCGGTCGACCAACTTCATCGCCTTTTCATGCTCAGCTTTTGCAATAGAAAGCAACTTAGCCTGGGCCTTGACAGCATTCACCATTTTTTTAGACTTTTTCTTCGGAAGAACTTGAGTAGCAACAGACTTGGCCAGCTTTATGTTGTCCTCAGTCAGTTGTCGTTGAAGATTGAGTTCTTCCTCAGCCTTGAGTGCCTCGAGTCTGTCAGCTTCAGATAGGAAGTCAAACTCACCACAACTAGAGATACAAAGAGAGATTTTTAATCTAGTTTGGTCGAGTGACTCCTTCAGTTGAGACATCTGCTGGTTGGTAAGAGTTGGAGGTTGGGTTTTTTCAGATACCCATTCCTCTAGCCGACTGCAGGTAGTAGAAGGGATGGAAGAAAGTTGACAGAAAGAAGTAACGATAGCAAACCTGGAAGATTCAGTACATAAGGCTCAACAGGTTTGAAGAGTACCTTGAGATCTCCTTCTTCAGCAACACTTTTGTCTTTCAATTAGGCGTTCTGGTTCTTCTCGGAAGTCCCATCTCTTTTTCTTTCTCTTTCTTCCCCTGGGATGCGGAATCCCTGAGAGAAACTCCTTTCATGGCACTGGCTGGTTTCTAGTATTGAATGGTAAAGTCGTCATCATCGTCGTCTTCATCATCATCATCACCAAGATCCTTTCCAGCATCAGGAAGGGTAAGAGAATCATTGTTTTCATTGTCATCGTCTTCATCATCATCATCTTCCTTATCACCAGCATCATCTACAGAGGTGATAGGAAGGACTTCGTCACGAGCTTCAGCATCAGCTCTGACGGTTTCATCAACGACCTTAGCTTCAATAGCTTCATAGGAAGTTGGGTTTTCATCAACGACCTCAACTTCATTTGCTTTGGCTCTGGGAGTGTTAGCTTCAGTTTGAATCATTGGGATATCAGCAACATCTAACTCTATCTCCCCCACTTTGTCATCAGCATGATAATCTAAGAAGTTATCAAGAGTTCTTGTTAAGATGTCCACCATCTCTTCAAGCTTTGTCAGGGCTCTAGCTTGAAGAAGATTGTGCTCAAGAGTCTGATCCAGCTGGAGGTGATCCATCACTGTGAATGACGGTGTAGGAGCTGGTACTGGACTTTGGAGGAGCTCCAGTATCTGCTGCATCAGCTCACCTTGCCTAGTAAGCTGGGCATTCGCTTCATTGACCTTGCTGGTTAGAGCCGAGATGGCCTCAGCGTAGGTGTGCACTGCTGCTTGCACCATAGAAAATTGTTCTTTGACCTCTTAAACTTCAGCTTTAACAACTGATAGGTTAGCAAAAACTTCAACCCTGAGAGGCATGCCTTTATCGACTTCGTCCACCTTTGTAAAGACAGTCTCTTTAGCAGAGAGTAATAGCTTGACGTCATCAGCCATGTTTTATTTTTCTTCCATGGTTGGCGTTCTTTCGTCACAAGGACCTGAAAAAGGAAAATGTTTGAGCATAAGATAGCTCGGGGTTAAAAGAAATGAAGGGGTAGGATGGAGGAGTACCTGAGGGTTCATCATCACCATCTAAAGGATTGATGCTTGTTTTCTCCAGGATTCCTTCAAGAGGATAGGCGTCCATATACTAAGATGCGTCAATAGGAGAAACCTCAAGTCCTATGGTGGGTGCTTCATCATCAAGGAAGATAATCGTTGATGAGTCATAAGCACGTGTTGAGACCAAATAAGGAGGAGAAGATAAAGTGGCCGAGACTGGTGGACGTGGGTGTTCAGCAGTGGCTATGCTGATATTCACACCTTCAGTGATTTGGGTCACTGACGCGGTTGGGATCGAAGCCATAGGTGCGATACTGATTGTAGAAATCACTGAAGAGATTGGAAAAGATGAAGCTAAAGAGGCCTCGGGGTTAAGGCTAGTTTCAATAGCTGAAACCTTTTTAGAGGTAACAGCCAGAGATGTGGGTATCCACTTTTTGGTTTTCTTGGCCCCCGGTGGATAACCAAGACTGGGTTAAAAGGAGGGACGTTTGGAAAAAAGGGAGGTGGTGGTTGGGATAGACTTCGGGGGTTTTCCTTAGTCTTGACCATAAGGGAAGAAAGAAATACAATCCCAGTTGAAGAAGATGAAGAAAATGCATGCACAATTGCAGAGAGTGTGTCACACCCTGTTAAAGGGGAAATACGAGATATAACAGGTCAGCGTATCACAACAACAGACAATAAATAACACCATAAGTTTTACAAGATTACATCCATAACCAAGTTGGTGTTTGAATACTTCTTTACAAAAGATACAAAATGAACTTAATCGGTGTCGTAACATATATGCTCCAAAAACTTCATTTCTTACTTAAATCCTGAAAAGCATGAAACATAAAACAACGTCAACTACAAAGAGTTGGTGAGTTCACGGGTTTTCATATGCACAAAACATTACAATGCATAAATCATTTCTTGCAAACTTATACATAAACTTGCACACAATAAATCTAAATCTACCACGATGTTTAAAACTTGAGACGCTACTGAGCCTTTCCTGAACAATGTGCCCCATTAATTTACGAACGACCATAAGTAGCACGTACACTCACTTAGGTCCCACAGTTCGTAGTAGTACTAATTCAGCGATGGTCCAAATTCCACATGATTAGACTAATAAAATATAGGTAATGTGCACCCCTTTCTGGGTGGGACTGTCAACACAATAGCGGCTATCCACAATTACCACGGCCCGGGAACATGTCTGAAATAACAAGTAGCGTTTACGGACGGGCACTTTATTTGGAAACATACTCTCAAGTACATCAATTTAGCATTTATATCATAGTGCAAAACCGTCAATATTTCATGACATAAATAAATCTTGACTAAACAGTTCTTTAGTCCCACAGTTTTATAAATAACAGTATAGTTTGCATAACTTCATGCTTTTCCCCCAGTTTAAATAAACAAAAAGCATTAAAAGTGGGGCCGTGAATACTCACAAGTTAGCTGATGAATATCCAAGAACTTGATGATGTTTGAAGCGCTAAACGTCTGCACTAACCTTCCTAAACAGTCTAGAATCCAATAATTAGATCACCCTACGGGTCTCGATAAAGATAAAGTCAAATTATAGCTTATGTAATGCCAACGAGTTTTTGTGACTTAAAGTTGATACTTATATTAATTGCTCTAAAAATAGTCCATAAATATATATTTTAAAATTAAGGTCCTTTGCACATAAAGCTGCTATTTGGACAGAATGTAAATTCTGTTTCTGGAATTTTTGGTCTCACAAATCACTGTCAAAAGCAACCTTCCAAAAGTCATTTTGTGTCCAATTTTTATATCATCAATAATAATGAGTTAAACAGATTTTCCCAAATAACAAGAATTTTGGATGGGTTTAAGGCACTCATCATTACCTTACAATTTTGAGTGACATAGTCCCCAAGACAGATTGCACACTCTTCAAGTGACGTCCATTTGGGGGGTCTAAACTCATCATTTTTCAGATATTTTAACTTTATTTTAAAGCTAACACATAAGGCTAACTTCCAGAAAAAGAATCACTCATTTTCAATGAGTTTTGAAGAAGATATGACCGATTTAAGATGCATGCAAGATTCTGCTAGTAATGCTCTTTTGCACCATAATCTTGTATCAAGAACTTGAAGGCTCAAAACTTAATATTTTTTAGTGAGACCAGTTGCATTAGAAAGATAACTCATTAAAATGAGTTTTAGAAAAAAAAAATAAACCATTTTGGAGGAATGACCAGAGAGATATGGTCGTCCAAAGTAGGTTTTACCTACTGTCAAGTCTGCTGTTGCACACTTAACTTGTTTTAAACACTTGAAGGTTCAAAACTTACTCTTTTTATGGCAAAAAACCCACATGCAAGCACTTTACCAACTTTTCTTGAGTTCTAATGTTTGTAGGTTATAGATTACCATCATTTTGAAGTCATTTTCATGTCATTGATGTATAATCTTTCATCTTAGATTCTCCAGAAAGTTTGTTTATAAAAAGAGAAAGAAGAAAAGTGTAGAAGATGAGAAATCATGACGAAAAATAGGGATTATGAAACTAGTCTCTTACCTTTTGCTTGCAACTGCTTTAAGTTTGAACGCTCTTTAAGATGATGGAATTTGAGAGGTTTTGGAGAGTGATTCCGGTTGGGGTGGTAGAGGAAATGAAGATTTCAAAAGCAATGGGGTTTTTATATGAGTTTTAAATATAAATAAAGGGCCGGCCTCTTTAGGCCCAGGTCCATAAAAAATTTATTTTTCTTTTAAAAAAAATGAAGCCCATTTAAATTATAACTAAAAATACAATTTGTCAAATACTGATAAGAATATCATTATTAAATCAAAGTTCCACATTTTTGGTAAAATTATTTGGACATTCAAATGAGACTTTTATATTTTAATTTGGACTTTATAATATCAACTTTGTTATATTTGGAGCATTTTTAATATATTTGGCGTTACATAAGTTAACTTTATCAGTTACCCGTCGAAACAAGGTTTTCTAAACTATATTTTGGGAACTAAGCCAGATGAATTCTAATCAACGTGACTAGATCCTAATAAAATATAATTCTAAATATAGAAACCCTATAAAGGTGCTAACCTGACGCTCCAAAAACGACGGACATCACAGTCTCCCCATGCCAGAAGAATTTCGTCCCGAAATTTTATTCGTTAATTCCTAGATTATGACTCATTTGAGAACAAGTGGGGATACTTGCTTTTCATAAAGTCCTCTCTTTCCCACGTGTACTCCAGTCCATGCCTCGAAGTCCAATGAACTTTTACAATTGGAATTTTGCTACCCCTCAACTGCTTGACTTCTTTATCCATGATTTCTATTGGTTTTTCAACGAAGCGCATATGATCATTAATTTGTACATCTCCCAATGGTATGACCAGTGTTTCATCGGTTAAGCACTTTTTGAGATTTGATACATGAAATGTATCATGAATAGCGCTCAGCTCTTGTGGCAGTTTTAACTTATATGCCACTGGTCCAATTCTCTCAGATACTTCAAATGGACCAATATGTCGGGGACCCAATTTACCTCTTTTCCCAAAACGCATTAATCCTTTCCAGAGTGAGACTTTTAAGAGTAATTTATCTCCTTTTTGAAACTCTAATGGTTTCCTTCGGTTGTCAGCATAACTTTTCTGGCGATCTCTTGCTGCCTTGAGTCGATCCTTCATGGTTACAATCTTGTCAGTAGTCTCCTGGATAACATCAGGTCTAGTTAATTGCCGATCGCCAATTTCTAGCCAACTGAGTGGAGATCTGCACTTGCATCCATATAATGCTTCATAAGGCGCACACTGAATACTGGCATGATAGTTGTTGTTGTATGCAAATTCGACTAACGGAAGGTGCATATCCTAGCTTCCACCAAAATCTATGGCACATGCGCGTAACATGTCTTCCAGTGTCTGGATTGTTCTTTCCGTCTGTCCATCCGTTTGAGGGTGGTATGAAGTACTTAGATCTAGACGTGTACCCAACCCTCCTTGAAGTGATTGCCAAAATATTGACGTAAATCGACTGTCCCTATCCG